GTTATTTATTCTTCGTATTTTTTAAGTAGAGTTTTGAGACTACAAGTAAAGCAGTAATATGAGATGTGATACGAAATAGGGTGAATACATCTCATATAAATAATTCTTATTAAACTTTCTAACACTGTTCCTCTCATTCAACATATTCTCAATTTTTTACTTTGTATATCCTCTCTTATTTTCCTTTTACAACATACGTACCCTAATTAGCAAACCTACTAGTTTTAAGATATGAAGACCAAGATGCTGTGGCCTCTGGTATGGTCGCAGTCTCTTTTCGATTCATAGAAGTTGGTCTTGTTGTCAGGGCGACTTAGTAGAAGACACCTAGTCCGAAGTTGTTTGTCATAGTAGTTATCATGATTCCCAGCATCAGAGAGTGCACTTGATACATTCTCAAAGGTTTCGCCGGCCTCATCAATGAGTTTTGCCATTCTCCGCACCGAGCTACGAACTCGTCAAAGAGACAAGTGAAGTCAATCCCTCGACAAACTTTCTGCCGGAAACGGTTACACTATCACTCCTCTTTCTATCCTGGCCTATCTATCTACTTCTTACCCTCAACTTTTGGGAAAGCAAGGCTATGTGAAATTCAATGGAAACGTCGGCTGTACTCATATCGTTATGGGAAAATTCTACTACCCTAAACGAAATAGGGTGAATTCATCTCATAATTATTTTCCAACAATAACTTTTTCATAGAGGTTGCTTGACCTTGTTCTCGCACCGGAGTCCATTGTCTTCATGATCATTTCCAAAGTTGAACCGTGGACGTGGTATATTCCCAAATGTTTCGCCGGCATCGTCAGTAAGTATCGCCATTCTTAGCACAATACAGCAACTCGTCAAAGAGACAAGTGAAGCCGATTCTTTGACCAAATGTGTGCTAAAAAATTGTGGCATCTCCCCTTCCGTCTTGGGTTATTCACGTTTCCTGTATCATCCCATCACACCTTCACTATTACAATTTTAGATATAGTGTGGTGTGCTCCTTTGAGCGACATTACACCTTCACAAAAGGCCACACCATCCTGGTCTTCATACCTTCGAATAACTTTTTCAGCCGTTCCAATTCTTTAGTCAAATGGTTGCTATCCTCTAGTATCATACTCCTAACAGCGATTCACTTCAAAATCCTAACCTTAGTTTTGTAACTATGGTTAGAAAGGAACTTAAGTAAAGAGCCAACTTACCTTGTCTACTCGCAAACATCTCTCCCTAGCTTACCCTGTTCTCTAATGCTCGAAACATTCAAAAAGGGTAAGGACCTATTTCGTTTCCCTCTTCAACCTAATGTTCCCTTAACGTTGATTAATGCAAAGTAGGAAACTATCTAAGCCTTACTGACCATGAAGCCAAATAATAAAATCTTCATCCATATCTCTAACCCACAATTCAGGAGTTAGTATTGCCTCATCTAAATAGTGTTCTTCAAGCTTGGCTATGTGCGTCCTTAAATAATCGTATGCAATTTAGGCTGATTTAGCTTTAATTCAAGAGCCATTGAAACTTTTAAAACTACTTCTTTCAAAATCAAGGACAAATCAGTTTAAGCGACTTCGTGGTAGTGAAATTATTATGGAAAAAGTATTAAAAAAAGTTGGTTAAGCCTTACACCTGCTCTGCTAGATGGAGGCTCGAGGCTGATTGATTTGTCTACCTGAAGCGAATGCAGAAGTGAAAATGTGTTGTTATTAATACGTTGTTAGCATTAGGGCGATGTTCGTAGCATTAAATATCAATTGACTCCTAGTCCCCTTTTAGAGCTCAAGTAGTATTACCAAACCTCGATCAAACCAGCACTTGGCTATTTTTCTACACGCTCCTCCTGAATTCCACAAGGTCAAGGTAAATTAGATAAATAATTGACAAATGATGACAATGTTTGAAAGGAAACCATTGCAGACCCCGGTTTTGGGACCCAATGAGTTCGGAAAGTGTCATTTCGGCGTGTCTTCAGAGAGGATTTTGCTGGACTCGTGTACATTTCTTCTCAATCCCCTTCCCGCAGTCTTGGCTGAGCATGCCGTCATAGATCCAAGGCCTGGATCTGTCTTCTGGGTCGTGAATTGTTTCTCTGCGCCCTTAGGCGACTCGTCAAATCGGGATCTGGCGTTGCGATGCTCCATTCGTCACCGGCCAATGCTGAATCGGACGAGGCATTGCCGACAGGCGAGGTGAGAGGAGCCTGTCTGGGCGACATGTGTCGGGGATAGTGGGAGGACATCAGATGACGGTCGGATTTGAGGGATTCGCTAAAAAGATCAGATCTACCGACCTCCAGACTGGCGTCAGTCGTCAAAGGCAGGGCCGGTATTCGAATCGGCCTAACACGTCGGCGTCGTTGTCGTGACAACAACAATGGTGGATTGCTGAAGCATCCTTTACGCGGATTGAGACGTGTTATCGCCTGGGCATGCGATGATGACGAGAGCCAAGGCAGTGAAGTGAGCGAGCCCCGAGTAGAGTTTGATAATGTTGTGATTGGTTTGAAGTTGGTGGAGCCGAGCGGTGGAAAGAGATGATATGTCGGTTCATCTTGTTCCCTGTCGCGTCGACTCATCTGCCAGACACGATCACGTTCATGTCGGTAGTAGGGCAGATGAGCCCTCCGACTGGCCTGGCAGCATGACGGTCGGTGGTCTCTGGTCGAGTCTTCACACATGCTCGACTCTTTGGTGGGAAAGTGGTGGGAGGTGGTGGTGGGCGCCAGTTTGGAGGTCTGAGAAATGCCGATTTCGTGGCATCGGCCACTGGCACGGCTGATGCCCGTGTTGGGCTTAAGAGCGTAGGCTCGAGGCGTCGTTCGAGTCGGAGCTAGTCTGCTACAGACGCCCAACTTTTGACAGCCCACAACGACGGCGGGTGTTCGCCTTGTAGACTCGGCAGTTGGGGCCCTCGAGACCAGGTTTCTGCGGGTGGGGGGCGTCGAAGAGCTAGTTGACAGGCGATAGTGATACTGGCCTTTTTGAGGCTTGTTTGCCTTGTCAGGTGCGTCCTCAGCCGGTTTGTTGAGGCGAGTCTGTCCAGAGGTGCCGGCAGAAGAGGTCGAGACGGTCTCGCTAGCCTCCTCCTCCTCCTCCTCCTCCTCCTCATCTTTCTTTTCCTCTTGCTCCTCCTTCTCCCCCTTTTTCGGTATCCCAACTGCTTCGGGCGTCGACGGTATCTGAAGTTGACCGGCTCGTCGCCTGTTGGCCGCGTTGAGATGGCCACAATTGTCGCCGGTTGGCTTTCGAGTTTGCCCACTGGTCACGCCTTTGCATCGTCCCGAGGTCGGCCTGCACCAGACTCGGTCCCCGGTCGTCTGGGAGACGGGAGCTGAAAGTAGGCTCACCGGCGTCGACTGTTGCGAGATCAGTGGAGTGGTCAGTTTTCGCGTCTGTGCCAGAGCATCATGACAACGCTTTGAGCGTGCGTTACGTCGGCGTTTCTGACAAAAGTAACAGTCATCATCGGTCGCTGTGGAGATGGTACGAGTTGCGCTCGTCTTCTCGTGGGCAGAGGAGACGTCGGCAAATTGCGATTTATCGTCCTCCAACAACGGTATCATCGTCGAGCCGAGCAGATTAATCAAGGCTGGTTCACTTGTCCCCATGGCAACATCATAAATGCTATCCTCACCTGTGGCGTTTGGTGCAGGCCTGAGTGAGTCCGTTGTTGTATCGGTGCTTGTGTCAGTTTCCGCGTGACCGTCGTCAACGTCGTCGGCCAGTCCTTCAGAGCTTTCGGCGAATACATTCGAGATGCCGACGAGAGGATAGTTGGAGTAGGGCGTCGCGAAGAGGACTCGTCTCGGGCGTTCGGTCAGCGTCGTTGACCCGCCAGAGTGGCCGAGTTCGAGGCCGGCTCGTGACTGAAACAGGGCTTGAGAGGACAACGTACTTTGCGGCTCCACAAGGCAACCGACCCCCAGCATGGCGACATCTGCCCTCGACGGCTGACTCGTCTTCACGACAATCGCGGCCGGTTTCACGTCCGACTGGCCGGTCTGGGCCAGTCTGGGCAGGACCATACAGACGGCGTCCTCGGCGTCCGCCGCCTCGCTCGAAGGGACTCGAGCCATAGTCGAAGTTGACGTCGGCGTTACCGTTCGCGTAGGCGTCCCCGTCGTCGGCGTTGACGTTTGCGTCGATGTCGGCGTCGGCGTCGCCGTCGCCGTCGCC